CATAAATGCATGTTGCTAAGAGAATAAAGCCAATCTGATAAGCCTACATGCCACTTGACTCAAACTCTATGACATTCTGAAAAAGGCAAAACTATGAAAACAGTAAAAAAAAAGTGTTTTACAGATTAGTGAGGAAGAAGGAATGAATCAATGGGGTATAGATGATTTTTAGAGCAGTAAATCTACTCTGTATGATACTACAATGTTAGATACATGTCATCATACATTTGTCCAAACCCATAGAAAGAACACCAAGAGTGAAATCTAACATAAACTACAGACTCTGGGTGATAATGATGTGTTAGTCTAGGTCCATCCATTGTAACAAATGTACCACTGGGTAGAGATAAGGATGGGTGTGGTACTGATAACAGTAGAGGCTATGCATGTGTTGGGAAGGGAGTTTTTGGGAAATACCTTCTATTCAATTTTTTTGTAAACTTAAGTCACTCTTTTAAAAAAAACAAAACAGTCTTTTTAAAAAGAGATTTCTGAACTCTCGTCCAAGATTTACTGAATCAGAGTTTTTTGCTGTTGGAGTCCTTGTATCTATAATTTTTAAAGTACTCTGTGACTCTGATGATAGCCCTGGTTTGCAAATGACAGGCCAAATTGCAATTGAAGCTGAATATAATCAATTAGAAATTATGAAATGTTCAAGTAAAAGTTGTACGAGAAAACTGGGACATTATGAAGAATAATGACTTAAGGAAAATGGATCCCCCAAAATCTCATTATGCATTGCCATTCATATCTGAGTCATGTTCAATGTGTGTATGCCAAGTGATGTCCTTCTCAAATTACCAATGTTATAAAAACAATAGAGAGAAAAAAAGAGAGATGATGATGTTGATGATGATGATGATGATTGACACTATTGTTCCATGGACCATACTTTGAGTTGTAGGGTCATAGACTATGAGCTCAATGAGGACAGGGCTCCCTTTTTTCTGTCTAGGTACCTGGTATCTCTCATAATTCCTGGCACACAGTAGGTCCTCACAGTGTGTCTGTTGTATGAATAAATCTCCTTGTCCTCCCAGAATACCCCAGTCTGATTAAGGTCTTTTTCTGTATTTTCCCTAAAATCTGTGTGTGTAGATATGACATATCTTTGCCAGCAGGTAGACTCAAGTAGAGCTTTTGCTTGTTTGCTCCTGCTTTCCTTTCACTAATTATAAATTGCCTCAGGGTAGGTACTATATTATTTTCCACATGTTTCTCAGTATTTAGAACAGTGCTTAGAACACCAAAGGCACTTAGGAAGTGTCTGCTAAATAAATAAATGATTTAGAAAGGCAAAATCTGCTTTTTTATCTTCCAAAGCTGCAACTGAGCTTTCCACTGCCATATATTTCCCATATTCTCAGGGAAGTAGATGAAGAGGTACACACTGAAGACAACAGAGAATGGGTGTCTGGGAAGGCACATCCTGGAGCAGAAATTCACAAGTGGCATCATCATGAGATCAGATGCAGGGGCTCTCAGGGCTCAGCAAATGAGGAAATGTTTCCACAGAAGCAGACTCAATACATCAGCAGTTGTCATTTTCAACTGGTGCCCTCCATCAGGAAGGACAGCCGCTCTGCCAGGTCAGAATTGCTTGGGCCACCTCCAAATCATTGTACCTTCCCAGATCTGGCACTGAATCTAGAGGCTGGCAAATCTGGCTTCTTAAAGTGGATTAGGTGAGCCCCATAGAGAGCTTTGTGTCCTGGCTGCATTCCCCATTCCTACAGCCAAAAGCTCAGATGGTATTTCTCTGTGGACAGCCACCTCTTTTGTCTCTGTTGGGATTTGAGTCTAACCCTTAGAACCTTAGCCTTGCGCACTCCTTCATACACTCTCTTGCCTACCGCTGCCCTGCTACAACCACAGGCTTTTTGTCATTGTCACCCTAAGTGTATTCTGGTTGGGAAGACACAAATTAACCTGTGACCAAAGTCCAGAATCAGAAATTGACTCACATATAACTGTCAAAAACAAAATCAAGAATGAAGAGTTTCTGTTGAAAAGCACTTGAATAATGGTATGAAATTCCATCTCTGTTTTCCCTCTATCCATTTCTTAAAATTGCTTAAATTCATAACCCTTCTGTGTAAAAAATGGAGTTACATTGAAAGGCTTTCTAAACCATTTCCAGAAAAGCAGTGAGCATATCATTCAAACCAGATGAAATAACTGTCCATGTCCAGACCCTTCTCCCGGGCCCTAATTTCTGCTTTAATTCCACTGGCCTCTTATCCCAAACAAAGTGTTTGGATGCAGTTATTGTTTATCCAGAGAACAAAGCAAAGGAGTAGTGATTAAAAACTTGAAAGTTCATTTCCAAATGCTGTGTAAGAAGATGGGGATGGTCCAAAATTTCACCGAGAAAGAGGTGACCAGTAGTCAAGAAATATTTATTCTATCAGTTACTAGATTTTCATATTTCATTGTTCAATAGACTGGCATGGTGGAATATGGGAAAAAGGAAGAAAGTGACCAGAGGGGCTTGTGGCTTTGTGACTTGTGGCTCTTCTCTCTCTCTCTTCCCATACACTCATGTCTGTGTATACGTGCACAGACATCTATAGCTATCAATCTATCGACATATCTAGATATATAAGTAGAGCTATAGATGTGTGACTGGATCTGTGGACATATAAATAACCTAGGCATTAATATAGATATCTAGGGATGGATAGATGATAGATGGATGAATGGATAGGTGGATAGGTAGATATTTTCAACTTACGCAGTAAATTTTTTGTAACGCCGCAATAGGATATTTTGATGGGCAAGCAACCTAGTTAGCTCTACGAGGAAAGCTACCTCATCTGGCGCGTGTGATAACTTCACTGTTGTTTTGGACAACTCTTAGGAATATTGCATTATAACCCCATTTTTAAGCGAAAGGGACATGATTTTAAACCGACTTTGGAAACCGTCCTGAAATGTCTTCTGCAGAGCACCCCGGCGTGGGTGGCACCGGCGTCCAGCACGGCCCACGGGAGGCAGCGGGAGGGGCCCGTCTGCTCTAGATGTCAGACACCGCTTGGGGCCAAGTCTAGCAAGACAACTGTCACCCCTTCCCCTCCGCTGGACTCCAGCAGCTCCAGCTGAAAACGTGATGCTCCGAAGCCCTCCCCGTCTCCCCATTCCCTGCTTCCAACCAGAGTCGTGGGAACACCGAATGGGACACGGCCCTGGGGCCACGCCCTGGTTCCCGGAGGAGGGGCGGGAGCGGCGGGGCGCGGGGCCCCGCGGCGGCTCCAGCGCGAGCTCAGCCCGGTGCGTCGCATCCCCACACCCGCCCCGCGCCGCGCCGGGCACGGTCCCCAGCACCCGCCCATCACCCCTTGGCTCTGACGTCCGCCTTCCCGGCTCTGACGATCGCCCCCGCCGGCCGCCCTTATAAAGGGGACTTTGCCAATACCGGGATCGATCGCCACCTCGGCCGCTTCCAGTGCCCTCGCCCCGGCGCACACCTGTCGGCTCCGCGCGCGCCCAGGTTCTGGGGGCCCCGGGGCTGGCAGCCCGCCGCCCGCCCGGCCCCTTCCCCGCGGGCGCCGGCGCCCCGAGCCCCGGCCCCCCGAACCCTCCGCTCCCTCCGCACTCTCGCAGCCCCCAACCGCCGCGGTGCCCGGGCGGCGGTGCCGGGAGGAGCCCCGGACGGCGGAGCGCTTCCCGGCCAGGCTACCACTGCAGGTAGGAGCGGAGCGGGCACCGGGGCGCCTCGGAGCCCGCTCCCTCGGGGGCGCGGTGGCCGCCCCGCGGCGTCCGTAGGTCCGAGGGACGCGGCTTCCCCCTCCCGGTGGGGACGCGCGGCGGGTCCGCTGCCTGCAGCCCCAGGCTCTGCGGGGCTGGGCGCTGCGCTGGGGCCGAGGGCGCGCGGGCGGGCGCGCGGGCGGGAGCCGGGGAGCCTCGCGCTGGCCCCAGAAGGAAGGACCCCCCAGCTCCCGCGTTCGCGCAAGCCGAGCGCACCCAGCCCCGCCGCGCTTCTTTCGCTTCCCCGGAATCCGAGGGGGCCTAGTTCTTTCGCCCGAGGTCTCATTCCCCACCTGCGGACACAAATACCTGTATTCCCCCCAGAAACGTGCTTGTGTGAAGGCGAGTCCATGAAATAGCCGTGGTCCCGAGGGTTGAAAAATAGCAGAAGACAAGAATTCCAGAAAGAACAGGCGTTAGAACTCGACGTCTCGTTTTTAATGCCTTCGACACCCTCCTATATTTTTAGGCAATTCTGTATTCTTAAATTGTTTTCTTGTATATGCAAAAGGGTGGGGGAGACATGAAAAGAGCAAAGAACAATGGAAGAGGAAGAAGAGGGTGCACTCTTTAAACGATGTAACATCTTTAGTTGCTTCAGTAACTTGGACCACAGGCACTTGTTGAAAATTGGAGCTGATGTGTTTTTGAAACTGAGTTTCCTAAAGTTTTTATTTTTTCTTTTTTGTCTCCCAGATTTACATATCACATTCCTTTTCGAACCATTCCCTGATATTGTTTGAAAGGAGAGACAGAGGAATGAATGAATGAATGAATGAATGAATGAATGAATGACTATGTTAGAATTCTCAGAGTAGTATTGTAAGACTACCGCACAATTCTCGATGGAATAATAAGTTCCAAATACACAGTCTTTGGAAATGATCTCTTGACCAAGTTACAAGACAAGGTCAATTTCAAATTGAAAGAATTCATTAAACACTAAAAGTGACTGTGGTTACATTTGTTAAGTGGCACTTTCTATTTTTTTTCCTTTTTCTTGAAAACTCAAAACAACGTTAAACTGTTAAGTAGTCAGAAAAAAATAGTGGACTTGTGTTGGCAACTGCTAGTGTCATATGTGATTTCAATGTGTTTTTTCTGTAAGTGGCACAGGATCTCTCATGAGCCAGCTGGTTTATTCCCAGCTGCCTACGCATGCTTGACTGGTTTATAATGCATTACTGTATTTTCTTCAGAGATCTTAATGAAGTAGCTAGCTGTGGAAGAATCTGGACCCCAAAATAAAAATGACTTTCCATGTGGAAGGCCTGATAGCTATCATCGTATTCTACCTTCTAATATTACTGGTTGGAATATGGGCTGCCTGGAGAACCAAAAACAGCGGCAGCTCAGAAGAGCGCAGCGAGGCCATCATAGTTGGTGGCCGAGACATTGGTCTGCTGGTGGGTGCATTTACCATGACAGGTAGGTTCTGATGCCTCTGCGCCATGCTGCCCACCCCTCCTTGCTTTCCCAGAGTGACGAAGCAAACCGTAGCCTTTGTCCTCTGAGGATTCCTTATGTTCACTGCTTATGTGTTCTAAAAATAACTTTTCATTTATTTAAAACAAAAATAAAATGGTTTCAACTCAGTAGTACTTGAACAAAATGATTTTATAGTAAATCGCTGGACAGAATATCGATGAAATGAATCTGGGCTGTCTGGACAATTCAGTGGGTGGGAATAGAATAAAAACAAAGAGGTAGAGAAGTGTCTTAGTCTTAAAAGTTACACAATAAAGTCAGCATCTCATCCTGTTCACTAATTTAGGCACAAAATTGTGACTTTGGGTGTTCTTAAATGATGAATGTCAATGAACATTAACTCGTGATGGTTTTCAACTGAATAAATCAGTTAGGGGCAGCACAATTCCAAATTGATTGATGTCCTGTTTTGAAACCTAATTCTCCCATTTAATAAACTAATTTCCTCAGAGGAAGACAATCACAAGTTAGGAATCCACAGCACTGGAAAAAAAAAAAAGATTCCCAGGAACCTTGATATAAAAGGGGACAAGCTAGGGCGTGTCCTAACAGGAATGCCTCAGCCAGCATCTGCAGCCTTCTCCTATTCAAACCACCCCTGGGCTCTGAGGAGCTGATGCCCAGAGGTGGTTCTGTTTAAGTGGTGATTTGTTTCTCTTTTTTATTCTTCTTGGTTGTAGAAAATAGTTCTGAAAAACAACAAAGGTATTTGATACATTTTCACCAACAACACACATTTCACTTCCAATTCTTACTAGGCTTTTTAATACTAGCAACATAATCTACACTAACTGGAACTCTGAGGGCCCATTGAAAAGTATCTCATCAGAAATATATCCAAATAATGCCCAATTTCAGCCCTGAGATGATTCCTCTGTATATGGAATAGTTTACCAAAGCAATCTGTGAAGACTGCATCTCTGCTGGCCATCTGAAACCTATAATATTCTAGAATAGTTTATGGACTATACGTTTTATTTTTCAGATATGCATCTTTTATATTCATTTAACTCTTTGCCAACTGCATATGGTTTCATATGATCTTTATGAAGCTCCTTATATTTGAGCAATGTGAAAGGGCTCTGGGGTTGAGTAAGGATGCAGAGTTACATGATTAACAAGGATTGGAGTCAGCACCCAACACAGGTCTCCCAGCAGCCACACCCTGAGGCCCCTCCTCAATGCACTGCCTGCAGCCTTCCAGCTGAATTCACTTCCTTTCTTTACAAAGGCACATCATTTGTAAAAGGGTCCTTTTTTTACCCTCTGTTCCTCAGTTTTTCTACATATACACATATATAGAACAAATTGTATCGTGCAAAATATTTTCTGTAATATCTAATATACACAGGTAAGTACAAAAACAGAGTGAGAATCATCCAGTAGTCTACCACCTGCATATATGTTTACTAAAATGCTGGTATACATTTTAAGATGTTCTCTTATTATCTACCTATGGATGAACACCATACACATTTACATCTTAATGTTCATTGTTCATTATAGCACAAACATTTCTTCTTTATCCTAAAGATCCAGATGCAATACTGATGTCTGAAGTGAATTATATTCCCTTCAGATTTTTCCTGTACAAAGAAAATAAGAAGAAAAGCAAAATAAAACAATGAGAGTTGATCCCACTCAAAAAACTGTTGAAAAGACTAAATGAGATTGTCCATATCAAAATCTTTGCTCATTGTAAATTTTGTTCATTACAATGTGCTATTATTACTCTAGTTTAATGTTATATCTATTGTGTTCATAAAGATCATATTCCAGGATTTGTTTTTTTATCATCTAGAATTATTTTTCAACAGAATAGTCTAATGAAGTATATAGAAAAATTTAAATCATGATATTTCATATGAAGTATCATGGTCTAGCTCGATTTTGAAAGATTTTAGTCTTTCAGAACTGAAAAGAATCTTGGTCAATATTATAATTCATTTAAATCCTGAACCATATTATCTAAACCCTGTTACATTCATTGATTGTATGTATTTGAAAAAGAATAAAGATTAAAAAATAAAAATGCACATAGTTTGAAAGAATTCTTGTTTTCACTGGCGAGTCTGACATGAAATATACAAACATGCAGAGCAAATTCTGGCATAAAAGGGACAAGACTGATAAAAATGGGAGGACTTTCACATGATAAGTAACCAAGTCTTCATTTCTATATTATAATGTTTGTAATCATTCAGTCACCAAGGTTTTTGTTTTGTTTTATTTCGTTTTTGGACAAGGGAGAGGAGACCTACGCAAAGACAAATGATCACTAATAGGCTTTGTTCTCATAAGACCATTCACTTTATGCAATGAGACGATGCTGGGTGGTGTTAGCAGTTCCAGTTGCCTAATAGGCGAATCAGGTCTGATTCAGTACCTGTGAGAATCATTTCTTCAAGTCCTAGTCAGACACCCAGTGAAGGAGGGAAACTGTTTAAATTTTCAGGAGGGCTTACAATGAAAAAAACAAATTATAGCATTTGTTGTTTGTTAAGACCCACGTAAAATCTTCCAGGCAGATGAGAGTGGCTGCCAAGAGCATATTTGTCCACTTGAGGATTTTGTATATACACTTTCCATTTAAATGTGCTGGAAATTCCTTTGCAGGGAGAGATCTTTTCATGTTAACCTTTAAGCAATAGGACTAACCCCACAACACTCTCTTCTTAGCTTTGTATTTGGAGCAAAAGCCAGATATATTTTGGCATGAACACAATAGAGACATCTGTCTCTGATAGTTTCATGTACATATTATTTATTTTACTTATATTCTGTGAGATTTCAGAGAACTTTTCAGAGTTAAATTTTATTCCCAATTGGATGATATAGCCTAGAATTCAGACTCATATCTGGTAAGCCATTATGTTCCTCATAATTTTACACAAATTATACAGAGAATTTTAAAAAATATCTTGGCAATACTCTTCAAAGGATATAAACTGTAAAGATTTAAGTGTTCCATTAACTTTAGCTTTTTAGCAATAATTATATGTGATATTGCCTTGTCACAGAAAATGGTAAAGTTTATAGATCCTTTTTGGTCCAATCTTGTTTAACCATCACGTGTTTTCTTTGGTTCCTTGGCCTCCTCCTTCAGCTATTATTCTACAGATATTCTATTAAATGACAACTGAAGAAGACATTTTCTTATTATTCTCCATGAAATATCAAATATCTTACTAAAAGACCCAGATTAAAACAAAGAATGCAAGTGGGTATTCAGTCAACTTTTCAAATTCTAAATGCCATTTTTTATGTCTAAATGCATGCGGGGCACTTGGGAAAGATAATTTACACTCACTTTAGGACACTTTGGAGTAAAAGTGCGATGTCTCCTTTAACAATTTAGGAAAGTAAACAGTATGTTACAATGGAGAACAAATCTGTCTAAATCCTATATACTCAGGGTGTTTAAGAAATGACCCTAATAACAAATTTTAAAAAGGCACGTACATCCACACCTGTGCATGCGTGAAACCCTCCCCCTAACCCCGCAAGAAGATAAACCTGATCAATGTGAGAAGATCAATGTGAGAATATCAATACAATTAAAACAGAAAGACATTAAGATAAAGAAACTTGACCTCATGCTATGGAGGGTGGGGGGAAAGATTGTAATATTATTGAGAATAGAAATAGTCGGGCAGCCCGGGTGGCTCAGTGGTTTAGTGCTGCCTTCAGCCCAGGGCCTGATCCTGGAGACCCGGGATCCAGTCCCATGTCGGGATCCCTGCATGGAGCCTGCTTCTCCCTCTGCCTGTGTCTCTGCCTCTGTCTCTCTCTGTGCCTCTTATGAATAAATAAATGAAATCTTAAAAAAAGAGATAGAATAGAAATAGTAACATAATATTTTGTATATAATGTCAGACTCTGGGATATAACAATATGGTTTGAAAGTATTGACGACTAAATGGACTCAGAAAATACCCAGGGCAACACTGACCAAGAGAAATATGATGTGAGCCACAAAGCGAATGTTAAATTTTCTACAAACCACTTTAAAAACATGAAAAAATAGGGGGAATAAATATAAATAATTGAATGTATTTAACTCAATTATGTTGAAAATGTTTTCATCTTATCAGGTAATAATACAAAAAAATTATTGAGATAGCTTACATTTACTTTTTCACACTTAGTCTTTTAATTTCAATGTGTATTTTACACTCAGAACATTTCAAACCAGACTAGCCATATTCAGGTGCTCGGTAGTCATAGGAGGCTACTGGCCACTGTGTTAAACTGAGCAGGTCTGGGGTATGGCAGTGTCTTTCCCTCACTGTTCATTCTCTTCCAGCCACCTGGGTCGGAGGAGGTTACATCAATGGGACAGCCGAAGCAGTGTATGTACCAGATTATGGTCTAGCTTGGGCTCAAGCACCAATTGGATATTCTCTTAGTCTGATTTTAGGTAAGTGAAAGTTTAAACCTTAGTGACCCACTCAGTAAAGCATAAAGAAGAGGAGTACAAATAACAAGTGAAATAATGAGTCAAACTGTGAATAACTATTGTGGAAAAAAATGTTACCAGGAATCTCTCAAGTACCTGCTACCAGAAGTCGGTAACAATAATGCTTAGATTATTTGATCTCTTGATTACGGAATATGTTTTTTAAAAATCCCTTGATCTATGGTAAGAGAATAGTGAATTTCTTAACATATGATTTTTTTCTTTTAAAAATAGTAAAGATATCATTAACTTGAATTGTACCTGAATTTCTTTGTGTAAATCAAACTAAGAAAAAGTCAAGAATATTATATAACAGAGTTCTTTTTTTTTCTTTCATTTAAAATACATTTATTGGATCTTGAGCTTAATTAGTATCTGAATGCTATGGTGGGTGATACAAAGGCATTTTAGTGAGTGTCACACCATTTTAGTGAGTGGTCCATGTTTTTCAATCCACATGCCTCAGATATACCATCCAATGGCCCTTTGGATGCATACAATGACAAAGGTGTTAAGAAATTCATGTTTGCTAAATATGTCTTGGTTCTGTACTCACACTATATTTCAGACTGGTTCCTCCACACAAATAAGTGTTCTAAAAATTTATTTCCCTTGAGAAAATATAGATGGTAAAAAGTTGGCAAAGACTATTATATTATGGATTTTTTATTTTCTCACAAACATTTGTTTAATTTATTTTAGGTGGTTTGTTCTTTGCAAAGCCTATGCGTTCCAAGGGATATGTGACCATGTTAGACCCGTTTCAACAGATCTATGGAAAACGCATGGGTGGGCTCCTATTTATTCCCGCTCTAATGGGAGAAATGTTTTGGGCTGCAGCCATTTTCTCTGCCTTAGGTAAGGACCTCTGCCTCTCTCTGGTTAAGGGAACATCACATACACAACTTTACTCCCTTAAAGCCCCAGGCCAGGCCACCTGCAGCTTCCCTCACCTGGGTGAATGCAACCATCTCCCTGTTTATTGTTCAGACTTCCTCCTCTAGTCTATTCTTCTGAAATGCAAATCGCATTTTGTTCCTTTACTGTTCTTTTCCAAACTTTTAAGTGGGGTGCATAGGCTTTTTATGACTTAGACTCTGATTCCTCTCACCATCCCTCCTCCTCCTTCCAGAACTCTAGGCCTCACCTCCTTTCTTGCCTCTAACACTGTGTAAGTGCAGGTGCCCTCTGCTTCTGACTTGTTCCCTTTTGCACATCTGCCAAGCCAACCAGGAGATGTCCTTCAGTCTTCTCTTACATGTCACTTACTTGGACCAGTAGTCCTGACCTTGCTGTGGGGTTCCTTAGGCACCTGGAATTTTGTTTTCACTGGACTTGTCACTTTGTATGATTATGTGCCCGTTAATCTATAGCAAGCCCAAATCCAACCTCTCAAAAGGGATTATAAATTTCTTGAAGGCAGGACTTGTGTCCTGTTAATAGTAGTAATCTTAATCACAAATGAATGAATGAGTGAATCATCTCTACTTTCTTCAAAAGAGAAAAAGAAAAACATCACTTGTTTTCTCAATGTAATCCTAAAGTACTGGGTTGTAAACATGTTTAGGGATCTAGAAAATGAACCTAGAGTCCTTAGGGTTTAACTTACTACCAAGTCCAATTAATGCTAAGGACAAATTATTCTTGGCCCACTGATTCTCAACCCACTTGTAACGTTTAGAAAACAGGAGATTTCAGTGGGATAGCAGGAGATCTTCAGTCAGGCTTCATAACCTTCCTTTTGATCACGGGGAAATACAGATCATTTCACTGAGTGTTGAGTTCCTTCTCGTGGATCAACAGAGTTGGAAGTTTCACAACCTTCCTCACTGAAATATGTCCATATTTAACATCCAGGCATCTACATATGTTTCTCTTTATCTCATCTTACAAATGAAGATAAAGGGCTCCAGTCTACAGCTAGACCCAAAGTAGTCAAAGCAAAAGTGAGATAAGATGAATGTCCTTCAGTTTTTCCTTCCTTCCCGTATGATCTTCTGCACTGTTTCTTATATTCCACACATGAGTGAAACCATATGATAATTGTCTTTCTCTGACTTATTTCACTCAGCATAATACTCTTCAGTTCCAGTCATTAGAGAGGGAGACAAACCATGAGAGACTTTTAACTATAGAAACAAACAGAGTTGCTGGAGGGGAGGTGGAGGCAGGTGGGATAGCTGGGTGATGGGCATTAAGGAGGGTATGTGATGTAATGAGCACTGGGTGTTATACACAACTAATGAATTACTGAACACTACACCTAAAACTAAGGATGTACTACATATTAGCTAATTGAATCTAAAATTTTTTTAAAAGATGAATGTCCTTCTATGGTATATATTCCATACCACAAACTTGTTTTTTGGTTTCAGTATTATTATCAGATCTGTCCTCTGTAATATCAGATATTAGTTTATATTACCTTTCACACCTTTCTTTTTCAAACTCCCATATAATCTTACCTTCTTGGTCTCCAACTGCAAAATGAAGAGATGATTTGATGTAGAAGAGAGTTTGATAGCTATAAAGTAACATATACCTCAGCGGAAAATGTTGCACTTTCTTGGTGCAATATAATAATAGGCCATAATTACCACTGCACTTATATCCTAATGAAATTATGTGTAAAAATGCACCTTTCTTCCCACCTTGCTCTCATTAGCCAAGAAGCAATGGGTAGTTCATTTGTCATTGGTTTCAACACTAGAAAATGTTGGTTTTAAGAACAAACTGCCTGCTGAGATATTAAAAAGGGAGTGGGCTGAATAGCTAACAGAATACAAAATTTTCACTCTCATCAAATAAAGATCAATCTATACAATTGAGCCCTGAAGGGAGAATTGAATTAATAAACTAATATTTCCTTCTTTTGAAAAGATTTATTTATTTTAGAAAGAGAGAGAGCATGAATGGGGAGGAGCAAAGGGAGAATGAAAGAGAGAGAGAGAGAGAGAGAGAGAGAGAAAAGAAGATGCCCTGCTGAGCATGGAGCCCAACATGGAGCTGGATGTCCCAACCCTGAGATCATAACCTAAGCCAAGATCAAGAGTCAGACACTCAACCAACTCAGCCACCCAGGTGTCTTTTGGTTTCAGGTGCCCCAACTAATTTCTAAAGTATTTTGGAAATATAAACTTGAACTAAACTCTGAACTTGCTTCAATTAATTATTTTTGTATATGAGCATGTGTCTCTATGTCTGTGTGTATGTCAACATATATGTATATTAGTATTAGTATATATATATTAGTATATATATATTAGTATTAGTATATATATATCAACATAGATGCACACACATATCAAACAACATGTATAAAAACATTGCTGCTATTGCTTGAAATATATGCTCTGGTAAAGAAAATATTTTTTTTAAAAAGATTTTATTTATTTATTCATGAGAGACACAGAGAGAGAGTCAGAGACATAGACAGAGGGAGAAGCAGGCTCCATGCAGGGAGCCTGACCTGGGACTTGATCCCGGGACTCCAGGATCATACCCTAGGCCGAAGGCAGGTGCTAAACTGCTGAGCCACTCAGGGATCCCAAAAATATGTATTTTTAAATTAATACATATTTTCTTCAAAAATATACTTGGACATAATTCAAAATTAGTGTTTATTAGAAATAACTTGGAATACTTAAGAAAAGACAAATACAATATCTACTACCACTTTCCTGTGAATGTGCTTAGTTCACAACAGAAACTTAGGAGAATTTTAAATTATCTTCTTACCATAAATGGAAAACATCCTTTACAAACATTTTTTTAAGAAATGTATCTGTAAGGGGCACCTGGGTGGTTCAGTCAGTTAAGCATCCAACTCTTGATTTTGGCTCAGTTCATGATCCCAGGGACTTGGGATCAATCTTCACATCACTCAGACTAGGGTCTGCTTGGAATTCTCTCTCTCCCTCTCTGTCTGCCCTTCTCCAAACTCATGCATTCTCTCTCTCTCTCTAAATAAGTAAATAAATAAAATCTTTTAAAGATGTATATTTACACTTCTCACAGCTCAAATTCAGTGAATTTTATGATTTTATTTATAGTATGTTTATTTTTATGGCTGCATGAATAAAGTAATATTTCATTAGCAGGTAATTTATTTTATTCACCACAAATGATGGAATTATCTAGAAAATATTTTAAAGAAAAAATTAATCCCAATCTTAATAGTAATAGAAAAGTGGGAGACTTCTTTAAAACCACTGAGTTACAACCAAATGGTAGTACTTACCAGTATCCAAATCTTTAGAATCCTAGTCCAGTGATCTTTCTTCTATAGCATACAGCCTCCTTCCCTTCCTTTTGGAGGTGTAGAATTAATAAAATTTTCACTAATGGGTAGAAAATTAAACAGCAACCCAAAGAGGCAGGGTAATAATTGTACTTAGAAATGTTATTAAAATAGAAAACCAGACCAAAAGAAGAATGGCAAAGAATTGCAACTAAAGTTTCAACATGAAGTAAATAATTGCAAGGGGGGAAAAAAAAGCCTGTTAAATATCCATACAACAATAACTCAGTCAATTACCCAAAGTCATTTATAAATAATTGACTACCTTCCATTGTCTTCATCTTCCAATTCCTTGTCAGTCTTTTCCTTTTATTCATTTGCTTTACTCAAGAAAATAGTTTTGTTACCATATTCAAAGCACTAAGAAAAAATTATTGAAAAATAGTTTGTATTGTTATCTTAGATCAAAATATTTTTTACTGCTCCTTGAGAAAATGAATGCATTTTCATCTCTAGTGGGTTGCGCACACTGTTAGCATGCAACTGAGAAGTGGTGGCAGAATATAAGATCGCAATTAATGATATTAAAAAATCACAGATTTGTTCCATGTGTGTTAGCATTCCTGTAATTGCTACATTTAACAATATAAAATATGTAGCTTTTGAGAACAATCGGGAAAGGGTTTGTAAAGCAGCAAGTGAATTCTGAGAGAAGTCCAAGAGCCATAGTGGTCTAATTGTACATTCTCTAATATTCTCATCCAAGATATAGACACCAACAAACTCAATAAACAAAGACATAAAGTAAGAAAAACTTAAATTTTATTTCTAAGGCAGGCTTAAAACTCTGATAATGAAAATTACTTAAAAATCTCAGTTGGCTCAGCGGTTTAGTGCCGCCTTCAGCCCAGGGTGTTATCCTGGAGACCTGGGATCAAGTCCTGCATCGTGCTCGCTGCATGGAGCCTGCTTCTCCCTCTGCTGTCTCTGCCTCTATCTCTCTGTGTGTCTCTTGTGAATAAATAAGTAAAATCTTTAAAAAAAAAAATCTCAGTTGAAATCTAGGGCCCTTCAACACATTGGTGTCCTAGCAGTAGGACTGGAATAAAATTTGCTAATTTTATTATTTTCATCTACACACTTGTCTTAAACCTTGTTACCTTATACCATCCATCATCTAAAAAAAGCCAACAAGGGGGCACCTGGGTGGCTCAGTTGCTTAAGTGTCTGACTCTTGGTTTTGGATTAGGTGTTGATTTCATGGATCATGAGATTGTGCCTCATGCTGGGCTTTGTACTCAGTGGGAGTCTGCTTGGATATTTTCTCCCTCTTCCCCTTCCCCTGCTCTCTCTCTCTCTCTCTCTCTCAACAAAAAGTAAATACATTTTTAAAAAATAAAAATAAATGAAAATAAAAATGAATTTAAAAAGCTAGCAGGGGCCAGAATTAATGGAAAATGGGTGATAGGGCTTATCTCAAGGATATGAGTAAATATATTGCATATATTTAATTAAGTCAGTTTAAGACAGGTAGTAAAATTATTTCGGGTTCTTATAGTAGTATTAAATTTAGTATATTTCATGGAATTCTGAAGTCATGTCATGAATTTTGGGGGTCCCACATAAATAAGTAAGCAAAGCATAAATTTCAGAGAGAAAGAATGTGTTTAAATATATGTAGATTTATATACATAAGTATATATATGTATATACATATTTAAGTTATAGAGATTATAAGATTTTCATATGAAAACTTACATTAACTGATCATCCAATACTTTTCACATGACACAGGGAAATACCTACTGTCACGGAACATTCAATATATCCTTGAACAGAAAGTGGAATCCATTTGAGTACCTTGACCACAGTGTTCTCTTGTCTGCTTTCTTCAGGAGCCACCATCAGTGTGATCATTAGCGCCAACGTGCAAGCTTCTGTCATCGTCTCTGCATTGATTGCCACTCTGTATACACTAGTGGGTGGTCTCTATTCTGTGGCTTACACGGATGTAGTTCAGCTTTTCTGCATCTTCATAGGCCTGGTAAGTGGAGCCATTCACAGACTTTCCTTCTTCTTTTCCTTTCCTCTCCTTTTTCTTTCTAAAAGGTACTGTGGTATTATACTAATTCAGCAAAAATTAATAGAAATGTCATTTCTGTCATGAGTAATACATAGTAGATCATATACCATTTGAAATTTTAAATTTCTCAGTGAATTAATTGGACAAAAAACTGTAGTCATTTTGTTAGATTTTAACAGAAAATATGCCCTCAATTTAATTCTTAAAAAGGCCTAGGGCTTCCTTCCCTTCATGCCTACATTTGATGGAAACTTATGTGTGCTATTCCTTGAGTTTGAAGGCAACATACGTTATTCAGAGTTAAAATGTAAACAATGGTGCTCACCTGCATTAGTCTTTCTTTTTAAAAAAGATGTTGTTTATTTATTTGATATAGAAAGAGAGAACACGAGACAGGGGCAGAGGGAGAGGGAGAAACAGGCTTCTCTCTGAGCTGGGAGCCTGAGGCAGGGCTGGATCCCAGGACCCTGAGATCATGACCTGAGCTGTAGGCAGATGCTTAACTGACTGAGCCACCCAGGTGCCTCCTGCACTGGTCTCTTAATCTCCCCCCTGTATTCATTTTAATTGATCTGTAAGACTTCTCATAAGACAGAAATTATCCCATTGGAAAAACTGTGGGTTTCAATATTAATCATCACTATCTGGGGTCTGAAAACAAAGAAAAGGCTTAATTATATAGGCACTAGAAAGGTTCGTTATGTATTGTTTATAAGTTCTAAATTAAATTAGGAAATATATGTGTGTTTTATTCAGTAAAAAGTACTGTATAATTATGAGATGTATTACTTGTATTATGTTAAGAGTGCTTTGGTGTGTTATGAACACATTTTAGTCAACAATGAGCCTTTGTAAGCTCAACATCTTAAAATGTGAAGACTATATTATTTTATATACAATAATATTCAACACCTAAGACATATCAAAGAAAATGGTGTGAGTACTCCATGCTGGGCACTGTAGCGTAGTACTCACTCACATGTATTTTATCTCAGAGACATAGTGTGTAGGGCTGGTGCCCTCACAGATAGGCCACAGAGGAAGTTCAGACTGCACATCGTGATACCCTTCCCATGGATGATTAAAGCACCTTTGAGCCTCCTCTTTTTTCCTCATAATGAAAAACTCTTCCCTCTATTTTAGTGTTTACACTAGACACTTAGAAATGAAAAATGGAGTCGAATCTCATATTCATTTTTTGTTTTGTTTTGTTTTTTTTATTTTCTAGAATCCTTAATAATGGCAGGAAATTTTTAAAAGAAATGACTACAACTAAAATTATAGTTAAGCCATAAATTTACATATGCTAGCAATAATCACAACATTTCCTTTTTTCCCCTAGTGTCTATGTGCATTTCATGGAATTCATTCACTAGTGTCTTAACTGAATTCAAGTCAATTTAATTCTCAATCACTTCTACTTTCTTATTTTTGAATTGCCAAAACCAAATGGACAGTGCTGAAATTCAGAATTCTCCTTAGCATCATCATAAACTTCCAAAAATAAATCTCTGTTTGGAACTTTGGAGGCAAGGTTGGTTTGACAATGACAAACTTCTTAGCTGAGGCACTTGATATACTAAGAAAGCCAACACCAGGGATGAAGCTATTTATTCTCGGTAGACGTAATTTCTCATTGCTTTTCATGAGGTCAGAACTTAAAACACACAGGAGCATAAATCAAGCATGCCAGTATAAAGATGATAGGACAAATATATGTGAGATAGATGTCAGAGTGGTTTTCTGCTACAAAATGTAACTAAACTGACAAGGAATCAAGTTCTTTTGATTACTAGTTAAGAGCCTATTGACTTGACTGAGTAAAAGGCCAACTATGGTTTGTTATCCAAGCTTCAAAAGACTATGCATGCACACTTAATTAATGAAGCAACTCACACCTTAAACTATCTCCTTTTCTCAAATTCTCCAATTCTGTTGATTTTATCACCATCCTTGGAGCTTGACAACTGTAAACTTGAGGTTCATCTGTTCATCTTCTCCCTCTGATCTCTTTCTTCCTACTATAATCTAGGAGCTGCTCGATCTCCCTTCATAATCCTTTTCAGTACCAATGTCTTTCCATTTCCAATATCATGGCTCTACTTTAGGCCTTCATCTGGATCATACCAGTTCACCTACTGCTTATCCTGACTCCTCCTTCTCCTAAGCTCACTGTTCACATCTGTGATATTAAAATGCAGAAGAAATCTACTAAAATCTTTTTATAAGTCAGAAGAAATGCTTCTAGCTTCCAGTTGCCTATAAAACAAAATATAAATCCCTTAGCTTGCAATTAAAATTTCTTGCCATGTATTTATGTTTCTCTCTCCCATGTTCCTAACCCACTCCCACACCAGCAAACCTTGTCACACAAGAAATATGTGCGCACACACTTTATGTTCTTCTCCTCTTTGCCTTGTTCCATTTAGATGATCTCTCCATTCTCTTCCTCCTATTAGCACTGGGCTCACCCTTGAAGTTTTGTTTCACTCACCAAGTTCTCAGTTAGATTTTTCATTGTCACTTTATTAATGGACACCTTTCACTAACTCAAAGAAAACATTAAAAGTTAATATGCCAATATACCTATGTTCTCAAATTTAATATTTTCTTTCAAAGGTTGGCTGACTGCTCCTATAATTGATATGACGTGATAAAATTAAGCACAAGCATAGATAATATGTTACTAACTTTTGTAAATCAGTATTTCATGGCATCCCACAGAGAACATGATTCTAGGTTCTTCTCTGGTGGACAGGAAGAACAACTGAGCTTTTGTGGTCTATTAGAAAACAAAGTGTGTGGCTAAAACTTGCATATATAAGACAGGCAAAAGTCATAGCTTAACTATGTCACATTCCTCTTTGGTTACAGTGGATCAGCGTCCCTTTTGCCCTGTCACATTCTGCAGTTACTGACATTGGGTACACTGCTCTGCATGCCAAGTACCAAAAGCCTTGGCTGGGGACCATTGAATCATTTGAAGTCTACACTTGGCTTGATAGTTTTCTGCTGTTGGTAAGTAATGCCGTTAACTGAGGAATGTAATCTCATTTTTCCTAAAATCAAATGCATTTTTAAGATTTTAAGGTTTATATGTTAATTTCACCTGCTGACTCATGTCTCTTTCTGCACTGACTACTTCTCGTTGGAAGGATGGAGCCACTTACTGACTATGGTAGCTGACTAGTGTCAAAGTGGAGAGAGTGTAAAGTCTTAAAGAGACAATGTCTATGGGTTAATGTATGGCATATCCACATTTCTGTTGTGCTGTAAGTAAGGAACACCATGCCCTAGCCACAGAGACTTCCCCAATCTGAAACCAAGCCATCAAAAAGTTTTAATTTGGATTTTGGATTTAAGGCATTAAAACCAACATCTTCTGAAATAAATAATCCATTTGGTCTTTAATTACTGAATAAGTAAATTATTGCCAAAGAGTTTTTAGTACAGACAGAAGTTTGGAAAGGAGGTGTCACTCAGGAAAGATGCCAAGAAGAAGCACTGGTAAATCAGAGACAGCTTAGGAACTTACAGAACTTTTGGGTGAAGGTGTTGGCAGCGAGATGTGGGGCACAGAAAAAATAAAGGAAGATCACATATTGAGGGAAGAGGGGGAAAGCCAAAAGAACCTGTCAGACTTCGTGATTTTGCTAATTGGGTTACTTACAAGAATAAAACACTATATTTAATTTCAAAATAAGAAATAGATTAACATTTATATCAAAATTAAGGGGAAATTATTTTTGTTAACTTTTTAGAGGATTCACAATATTTTGGTGATTTCACTTTGTATTCATGGCCCTTTGCTAAATTTCAGCAGTAAAAGTGTGTGTCGGGACACCTGGGTGGCTCAGAGGTTAAGTGTCTGCCTTCGGCCCAGGAAGTGATTCTGGAGTCCTGGGATCGAGTCCTACATTGGGTTCCCTGTATGGAGCCTGCTTTTCCCTCTGCTTATGTCTCTGCCTCTATGTGTGTGTGTGTGCGTCTCATGAATAAAGAAATAAAATCTAAAAAAAAAAAAAGTAGATATGTCTGTCCCAGTAAAGAAATTCCAGGTAAGAAGGCAGGAAAACATGCAAACAAATTGTTTCCAGTGGTAGGGAGGAGAAATTCTTTCCCAAATATTGTTAAGAAATGTATTGGCTGACACTTTTCTAGAATGGCTTATAATTATGAATTGAAGGGAGAAAGGGCTTAAATATTATGTGTGTGTGAAATTGTATCAGCATGGCAGGTTTATTTAGGGTTATATGGAGGAGATTATGGCACTCAGAAAAGATCGGCAGTCTGTGGATAATCACACCATTGTCTGAGTGAGGGATTTGAATCGAAATGTCTGAGCATTAAGACCCTAAAATCATTTCTCCTACACCACACTTTAGGCCTCAGATGTATTAATCTTTAAGATAAGGCATTATATCCAATGACTAATAAAGTTTCTTCCATCTCAAAAAAATTATATAACTAAGTCATGTTCATTCTTCAAAATGCAGCATAAGTGGATGTGAAATGATAGATGTTGCATGAAAGAATGAGTGAACTGTAGAAGTTAAGCCTTAAAATGTTTCACCAATGATCTCCCATCTTCCAACTGTCTCTCTGAACTTCTGCTTGTCATAAATGACTTGTGGGGTCTTGCTCTGGATATCTCCAAGGTATCTCCCAGCCCTACTCTGAACCTGTTCTCTGGCAGTATTCCTCAGCTGGCCTGTCGTGGTGGCTCTTCACAGTCTCCACATGGCAGCCCACCTACCTGCATCTCACTCCTCCTAACCCATCTCCCACCTTGTCATTAGGACTTCTGTTTGTCTGCGGAGGGCAGATTTTACTTTAGTTACAAAGCTCTGATGACTTAAATGTCCAGAAAGATTGGCATGTAAATTGTGGTGTATCAATTCATACAGGCATTGAAGTTATTGATGAATATTCATTGGTAAAGAAAATGTTAATGATACTCAGATAATCCTGACTTATAATGGTTCAGCTTAACAGGTTTTCAACTTTGCATTGATGAGAAAACGATAGCATTCAACATAAACCATACTTTGAATTTTGATCTTTTCCCGGGCTAGCACTGTGTAGTACGAGCCTCTCTCAGGGTGGTGGGCAGTGGCAGCTAGCCACAGCTCCCAGTCAACCAGAAGACTGAACAAACGATACATTGACAAGCATTCTGTACCCATACACCGTGCTGTCTCTCACTTTCAGTATAGTATTCAATAGATTATACAAGATATTCAGCACTTTATTATAAAATAGGCTTTGTGTTAGATGATTTACCCAGCTATAAGCTAATGTCAGTATTCTGAGCATGTTTAAGGCAGGCTAGGTTGAGCTATGATGTTCAAGAGGTTAGGTGTATTACATGCATTTTTTATTTTGACTTCAGATATTTTCAACTTATGATGGGCTTATGGGGATGTAACCCCATCATAAGTCAAGGAAAATCTGTATTGATTTATAGGTTGCAAACCAAAGGAAAAGTTTTTGAAGCATATAGACTTGAGGCATGGATTATGAATTTTAGAATTTCTTCTTTTACTTTTTTTTTAAAAACTTTTGAACATGCATAGCTTCTATAAGGAGGAGATTGCATTGGAATCAATATGTAACAAGCACTCTGATTGGCACAGAGGTGACAATGACAAATAAGACATCCCACAATTTAGAGCCCAGTGAGACAGGCAATGTAATATGGAAAATGCATTCACCAGTTCACTCATTCATATGATAAATATTTATGAACATTGACTGCATGTGAGTCAGAGAACCATGACAGTGATCATGAGGAAGGTATTTCCACCTCCTCGTTAGCCACTCCTACAACCCTGACCTTTCATTAGGCCAATTTCTCAGTGATCTCAGAGCTGCTTCATTGCTTTTTTTTTTTTCTTCCTTTTTCACACTGAATTCTCTGCCCGGTGTTCGCTTCTCTCTCCATCTTTACCTAGTGACACCCTCTCAGTGTTTAAGGACTGACTCCATGTCAATTCTGCAGGTTTTCGTGATTACCATGCAGCTGTCCTTCCTCCCATCTAACCCTGTCCCTGTTATCTCTGAATAGTTAATTGTTCCTCAATTTCCTTCCCATACAAACCTCTTTATAACAGGCAACAAATTACGTTATAGTTCACTGTCTCCAAAAGTTTCATGATTGCATATCCTCAATAAGAATTTTAAACACCCCCACAAGATATATGTAAGTATTAATTACTCATACATAGCATACTAACACATTTTGTAATCATTTAATAAAAACAATGTAACACATAAGTATGAGGTAAAAATGAGTCTAAATAAAGATTCTAATATTTTCTTTGATGCCCTTCTATATTATCTGGGACATTCTGCACACCCCACTCTGGAAAACACTGCCTTGCGTTGACTCTCCTGGTGAGCAGGGAGCTCCAGAGCAAGAACCATTCCCTTGACAACCATCTCATTACCTGGTCCAGAAATATTTATTGGGTTTTATTGATTCAAATAAAAGTTCCTCCTTTGAGAATCTTAAATTTTTTAGACAATTTTGTGTTGATTAGAACCTCTAGATGAAAACAAATTGTAGGCTCCTTATGGGTAGTTGTAATGCAGCTTAAAGTAGGTAAATTAAGAATAGATAAGATTGGGTTATGTAACTATGAAGGGAAAAAAAACTTGAGGAAATTCTGCACAGTTGAAAACATGACAATGAGATGATTGCAATTGGGATATTTGACATTTATGGCACCTCAGAGCCATAGGACGATTGTGATTGTGAGTTTCAAAAGAATCTGATTTAAGAATACCTAATAGAGAGACTCCTAACTCTGGGAAATGAACAAGGGGTAGAGGAAGGGGAGGTGGGCGGTGGGATGGGGTGACTGGGTGACAGGCGCTAATGGGGGCACTTGACAGGATGAGTGAGCACTGGGTGTTATGCTATATGTTGGCAAATCGAACTCCAATAAAAAATTATACAAAAAAAGAAAAAAAGAATACCTAATAGATGTTGTTTGCCTCCACCTCATTCTGAGTCCCTGTTGTTCCCATGCAGATGCTGGGTGGAATCCCATGGCAAGCCTACTTCCAGAGGGTCCTCTCTTCATCCTCAGCCACCTATGCTCAAGTGTTGTCTTTCCTGGCAGCTTTTGGGTGCCTGATCATGGCTCTACCAGCCATACTCATTGGGGCCATAGGAGCATCAACAGGTATATCTCTTGCAGCTTCACTAATTGACCCATGAAGCTTCACTGAAGTGATCAATTACCACACAGTGGCTCTCCCTCCCCCACTTGCCCTCTTACCCCCACATAGTTGATTGTTTCTCATCTTATTCAGATACAAACCTTTATTATAGCATTCAAATCATTATTAAACCTCAGTGCCTCCAAACAGTTTTTGATTGCTCTCCCCACCAATAAAATGTATGTGAGCATACCCCTCCCATGTTAATGTACTTATCAATTATGTATATGTAATCCTGTCAGCAGTGGTTCTCAACCAAAGTGCACATTGACATCATCTGGGGGAGGAGGAGAGGTACTTTAAAAAATACCTATTTCTATTCTACCTCACAGGGATTTAATTTTAATAATCTAAGATGGAGCCAGAGATCAGTGTTTCTTAAAGCCCTTCAGTTGGTCAAATTTGACCTGAGTCGAAAGCTACTGGCTTGAAAATTTACCTGACACCTAAGGACCACTTTGAACTTGAGATTCCTATTTTACATTTTTAATATTTTGTTAATAAAACGTTTTTTTTTCCTTGGGGAAATAAATAAGTGTGTAGGTTAAGGTAGACTTAAGGCACTAAGTCTTTACTCAGAATTGGTTAAAAGATCATTATGAAATGCTTATCTCCTAGTTAGCTTCTATCTAGAACATTTTTTAAATCTCACCCTTAGCTTAATTATTCCTAACAATTATGTATCTATGCTATACAGCTTCCAAGAGCATTTCATGAAAATACATCAGAATAATCCAAATTCAATGGAGTCCAGTCGGTAGGGGTCATTAAAACAGACTAAAGAAGTTTACCTTTCATTCCACTGTGTTTTGAAAAGATGATACAGGATGATACTCTCATGGCTATTTTGATTTTCAGTTAGTAGAACTACTTACTGGATCATGTAACTTTTATAAGAGCAGTCATGGTCCATAGTGCATACTCCCTATTCCAGTTGTTCATCCGTGTCATAAACAAACACTTAAAGAGATGACTAACAAAGGTAATTGTGTGCCTTTGAATAAAAGATAACATTTATGTCACAATCAGGAAACAAATCTGGCCATGTATATATACTTGTGCATGTGTGTGGGTGAGCTTGTGTGTGTGTGTGTGTGTGTGTGTGTGTGCTGTAGAACAACAGACTGAAAAAAATCTTTTTTTTTCTTGGATCAGGTTCACATTGTTGGTTGTTATTTCTGGTACCATAACATCTCAATGAATGCTATAAAATTGGCTTCAACAAAGAATGGCTTTGAACAATTGTAGTGGAAAATGGGGGAAGAAAAAAGTGGTAGGATCCAAGGGAAATCACCCCTATTTGGTCCTGGAATTATGCCCTCAAAGTTAAGCAAAAAAAAAAAAAAAAAGCTATACTACTGTGCATTTAAAGATTCTATTGTATTCTTCAGTACATGATAGTATAACTAAACAGTAAAGAACTAAATATTCAAAGGTAAACTTATTGTTCTATTTTTTTCACCATGATTTTTCTCTATCTTGCATGGTGCAGAAGATATTTTTTGTACCCTTTACAATAAAACCTTAGTAACTATTTTCTAAATAATATGCAAAAACATATTAGACAATGCAGAATTTCATTTGTTAAAAAATCAATTCAAAGATGTAATTCCTTCTATGAATTCTAGAGTTAAACAGACCAACTCATTATTAAATCTAAATAATCTTATAGCCTATTTTACTAGTGGCTCATCTCAGATTTTGTTGAAGAAGAATAATATGAATGTTGATGAGTCTCAGACTGACAATGGATAAGTTTGTATAATTCAAAACACTCAGATTTTTGGCTGCATTTAAATAGTTAATGGAAAATTTTGGAAAATACTGCTGACAATGTTTGATTGATCATGCAATTCCTTTGATTATGATAAAAAGACTTAAACTTGCTGAAATAAGAAAAAATACAGATATAATTTCTAAGTTTCAAATTTTAAAACTTGAAAGCACCTTTACCTATTTTATTTTTTCCAAAAACCTTTTTATATGCTTGAAGAAACTGCATGTTACGTACTTCAGCTTTGTGGTTTTAAAGAAAACACCTTCATATATATATATATATATATATATATATATATATATATATATAGTATGGAAATGTGTGGTTGTATAATTTATCATCTAGTTTTTCTAAATCAGCTTCACTGTGTTATTTTTGTGAGATAAAGCAAATTGATAATACTCTGTAATGAATTTTTACTCCAATGATTAATCTATTGACTAGCTATAATTTGATGAATTCCCAGATTTGGCTGAATGTTATCATCATTCAGACCTATGCAATCAGAATCTTTCAGGATAAGAGTCTAGAACTCTGCATTGTAAAGGCATGCCTGAGAGAGCCCTATGTTCATTCGGGTTTGCCAAGAACTGATTTAATCCAATGATGATTCTTCCTTTTACTTCTTGCTTTAACAAGATTAAGCACTTGCCATTCTCTGCCCATTTCTTCCTTATCCTCACGACTGTCAAACTGATTCATTGTTTTTAATAGCCTAACTCACAGACTTAGCCAGAGATGTATTGCAAAAGGTTGCCTGTGCATCTCTGGTACCCATGCCCTCATGCTTCCTTGAAAGGCATTTTATCTTTTATGCTTTGAGTCCTTTTATACAGAGTCCAAAATCCTCCTGAAAATGTCAGCCTCATACCTGTACTTTCTACTCAATAAAACAAAGATTTTCCTTTATCTATCATGCCTCCCTATTTCCAATGCAAGAAAAATTTAGTTGGGAGAAAAATAATGTTGAGGGAGCCCCAAAACCAAGTTCCTATACAAGAAAAGGATGGGTGAGAATAGCCCCACTATTGTCTATCCATTAATGCATGTATGGCTGAGGACTGAAACAGTAAGTGTCCTCTCATATCTCCAGCTGGTTGAAGAAATAAATACTCTATGCTTTTGTTTTATAATGCTTGTTTTCTATGATTCTGTACAGTTTGATGTCACAATTGCAGAAGAGAAATAGATATTAGGTAGGTAGGTAAGTAGATAGATAATAGATGATTGGTAGATAGATGGGAAGATAGGTGATAGATGATAAATAGATTGATATAGATAGATATAGATAGATATTGGTAGATGGGCAGACAGATGATTGATAGATTAGATAGATGATAGATAGATAGATAGATAGATAGATAGATAGATAGATAGATAGATAACAGGTCTTATGAATGAGGCTAAGTGTAACCAAAACCTATTAGAAGCCAGAATTGAATCTAAAACGATGGACTTCCCACCTTCTCAGACCAATATACCCAGTTAGATTTCTAGACCTAATTATAGAATTCTCCTCTGATTAGACTAATTCATGCATTCTGAATTTATTTCAAGAGCTCCTGGTAAATAAGATGACCCCCAGATGGATAAAGAACCTAATGTTTCTTTGGTGGTTGTTTTATTTTTTGTTTCTATTCAACAGACTGGAACCAGACTACATACAGGCCTCCAGATCCCAAGGGCAACAAGGAAGCAGACATGATTTTACCAATTGTTCTGAAGTATCTCTGCCCTGTGTACATTTCTTTCTTTGGTCTTGGTGCAGTTTCTGCTGCTGTTATGTCATCAGCAGATTCTTCAATCTTGTCAGCTAGTTCCATGTTTGCCCGGAACATCTACCAGCTTTCATTCAGACAAAATGTAAGAACAAATTTTTTCAAACATAACATTTTTGTTGTTGTAGTGGTGGTCATCGTTGTATTTATTGTATCTGTGGTATTATGTATTTACTAATATCCTATATTAAAATCTGACCCTACTTTGATTAAGCATACAAGGTTAAATAATGCTGAATTTTATTGAAGCTCTACATGAACGTGTTTAATGCATGTTATCAATCATGTTGGTATGGAAGGGAACAAATCAAAGCGAGAAACTTCAAAAGGTACAGTCATATTGCTGTAATTTACATTTCTTGTCCTTCTAATGAAAGAGTCATGAAACCTAAAATATCTTAGAAAAACTTTGAGTTACATCGAGTATGACAAGAAATGTGAAGTAGAACATGGTGAGTAAATTATTTCATGGGCATTTGTGTAGCATCTGTCCCTCTTTTTGCTTAAACTCCTAAGTCCACTTTGGTGTGAAAGTTGTTTCTCAGTGTAATGGACTTCACTGAATCAAGTAGATGCAGAACAGTGCTGTTATGTCACTGAGAAGCCAATAACCCCTATCCACTTTCTTCCTTCACCAAGGCTTTGCCTTTCTCAAGTTTTCCTAGGTGAAAACAAAATGCTCCCAGTTATTTTTACAGTGGCTGGCTTTAAAGATGCTAGGAGTCCCAGGAGACAGCAAGCCAGGGTGGGTCATGCCTCCTCATAGCCACATAGGAATTACTACTTAACATGTAAAGTATGTGACATCCTTTCTTGCATTATTATTGCCCTATGACAGCACGTAAGTTCATCTTACCTCTCCCCTGCACATTCAGGGAAAGATGTAGCTGCCAGTGCTTCCTGTGCATGACACACAAAAACCCCTCCCAAAGGCCCACAAGAGAGGCCACCTAGATTGCTTGCCTCCTATACCATGGTTTAGGTTGATTTTGCCCAGGTAGAACTATAGAACCAGGGCAATTGTTCAGACCAGCTTTAAGGCACAGAAATGCATCTCATTCTTCACCTAAATAAGCCAGTGCACTGTGTGAAAAGCTGTCCCTGTGGCAATTTCTTGCAGGCATCAGACAAGGAAATCATCTGGGTTATGCGAATCACAGTGTTTGTGTTTGGAGCTTCAGCCACAGCCATGGCCTTACTAACGAAGAGCGTGTATGGGCTCTGGTACCTCAGCTCAGACCTCGTTTACATCATCATCTTCCCACAGCTGCTCTGTGTGCTCTTCGTCAAGGGAACCAACACATATGGGGCCGTGGCAGGTTATGTGTCTGGCCTTTTCTTGAGAATAACCGGAGGGGAGCCGTATCTGTACCTACAGCCCTTGATCTTTTACCCTGGTTATTACTCTGATAAGAATGGCATTTATAATCAGAGATTCCCATTTAAAACCCTTGCCATGGTTACCTCGTTCTTATCCAACATTTGCATCTCCTATCTAGCCAAATACCTATTTGAAAGTGGAAAGTTGCCACCCAAATTAGATGTATTTGATGCTGTTGTCGCAAGGCACAGTGAAGAAAACATGGATAAGACAGTTCTGGTCAAAAATGAAAATATTAAATTGGATGAACTTGCACCTGTGAAGCCCCGACAGAGCCTAACTCTCAGCTCAACTTTTACCAATAAGGAGGCCTTTGTCAACGTCGACTCCAGCCCAGAAGGATCGGGGACTGAAGATAACTTGTAATGACCCCATCCAAATAAAATACTGTTTTCATGAACAGAGTGCCAATAGCAGGCTAGTCCAGGAAGGATGGGTGGCAGCATATAAAAAATATACTTTAAGAACAAACAGCATTCAGGAGATCAAAAATCCATATAAAAGTGCAATTGCACAAATGCAAGTCAAGCTACAAGGAAGCATCTGTGAAAGCAACAGCTTGCATCGATATTTCTCATCCCCATTTGATTCTGACTTTAGTTAGTTTTGTTAAGTATTCAAAACCGAATTAAGCCCTACTCGAAGAACAGAGGGCCAAACAGAGTATTTATCTTTATTCTGAAAAAAAGAAGTAGATACAAAAGAGCAAAGGAAATCAGGTGAACTTGATCCAGACCTTGTCCGCTAATATGCTAGTGGGTTTAGTTTATTGTCATTAGTGAAATCAGGAGAGGAACTGGCCATCACTCCAATGAATGGTGCAACAAATTAACCAGTGATTGCCCTGATGTGTTGATTAATCCCTTCTTTCATGTCCTTAACTAGAATGTTTGCTGAATATGCAATTCATTTCCCTTTTTGTAGTGGCACGACATATTACTCTGAGCACAGACAAAACAAACTCACACATGACATATTGTGTCGTGGCATTTCTTTAGGTACAAGGTAATAGGAAAATCGAATCCATCTTGTAGAGAAGCACTGGTTCACTTGAGTGTATCTAAGAGCTACCATATGCATTGAGACACGTACCTAGAGGGTGGAAGGCATGATTATTAGGCAACCTTAAAGCAATAAATCAAGAATGCCATCAAGCAGAAGGTGATAGGAAAATGAGTGGATTTTTGCCTTCATCTGAGGTTTATATAGTTTTGTTTCATGATAAAAGAAGTAATGTTGTGGTTTCCTATCTAAATTAGTATTGGAAGGGAAATTGAGTCATATGTAAGGTGAGGTAGCAGCACAGCACCAGTTAGGATTAATGAGGCATGAACAGCACATCTTGATAAAACTAGAAAAACAAAACCCTCTCAATTTTGGAAATTCATTAATGAAGATGATTTAGTGTCAAGACAGTAACTCTGTGGCACTTAATGCAAAGCCAATCTTAGGTACTAGACAAATCACCACTACAGAGAGTAGATACTGAATTTTAAAATGCAGAAGAAAGCAGAAAGTAAAAATATGTACTAAAGGGAAAAAGCCATCAATTTTAACATTTGGCATCCACATAACTTTCATGAGATGGTCATTAAATACTATTTTACTTCTTTTCTGGAGTTAAAAATATGTGTGTGTATATACATATATATACACATTTATATGTACATATATGTGTGTATATATATATATGTATAGAGCAGGGATGAGGCATATATATTTGCAATGATTTGTATCCATTTTAGAATTTTAAATGCTTTCCCAGTAGTCACATTGTAGAAATAACAAGGGCTGTGTCTTTAAAAACAGAGTGAATTGATAAGCTAAATTATCTGAGCATTTGATCCAATAAGGAAAGGCAACATGACTTATTTAAACTAAAGCACTTTGTCCAAAAACACTTGTTTTGCAATTTGTAGACAAAATGAAGTTAATTCAGTGTTCAACATTAAGCATAAAAGATGTGTTCAAGAAGCTAGAATTCCTTTTTTAAAAATGTTTTAATTGTCTCCAAGCATCAAATGATACATCTCCTTTGTTATTAAACATGAGTTAGATTCATCAGGTAATTTATTTATTTATTTTTTATCAGGTAATTTTTAAAATATGAATTAAATATTTTACATGTTGAAATGTCCCATATTTTAATGCTTTATCAGAACTTGATGGAGAATATGATGTCACATTCAGAGTCTTTATAGAACATCATCCATACTTGATAATAATGAGAATAATAATAATAATGAGAATTCTTCTCATTCATCAATTTGCTCAGAATCTTCTCTATAATCTGATATAATGTATCAATATACAATGGAGGACTTGGAAAGAAGCTGTAAGTGTGGGAGTCCCAAGATTCTAAGACATGAATGTAGAGAAGAACCCAGGGCAGGAAGCTCACAAAGACAAAGTTCAGTAATGGAAACATTTGGCATGGAAAAGTGATTAACTGTTGGGGATGCAGTTCCTGGCAGATCTGCTCCTTCAGATGTGCCATGCTTTCCAGCACACCGTCTGAATAACTGTACATACTCCGTCACTCTGAGTTCTTATTTCAACCTAGTTAGGCACCAGATTCCATAGAAAACATCACCTATATTTCAATAGAATACAACAGGGGCTTAGAGTCTCTTTGAAGATGTTACAGTTTACAATTTTACTGGGCAAAAGGTGTCCATATATGTTCAAATATGTGCAATAACTATATTTAAGTCCAGTGAAATGGAATAAATATTAACAGTGAAAATTTCTTTCATTCCATTCATTAATATCTAATAATAGAAAGATAAAGGGAAAATTTATCTTGTCTAAGATATTAAAAACTAGATAAATAATGTGAATCAACAAATAGTGTCCTATTTTTATTTCACGTTATTTCATACCTACTTTCAAACTAGATTTATAAAAAACTAGTTTAGTATAAAATCCACTAATACATGTGCTAAATATTAGGGAGATGATTTTTTTAAAGGACAAAAAATGTTGATGGTCAAAAAGAATGAAAAAATGATCACAGGGTCATTAGGCACATTATCCCATTTCCAGGGAAGGAATACTGTTGTGACACTCAGAAGACATTGCCTAATGCTCATCCCTGCTCTGATTTGACATCATGGGTAATGCTGGTGGCTTTATATTCTTCCCGCTAGTCAGTTGATTTAATTTTCAAAAATCTATTCTTTTTTTTTTTTCAAAAATCTATTCTTGATGAAAATAAGACAATGGAAACATGTGATACACTGGCTATATTAACCCCTGGAGGCAATACTTGGATAAAGCATTAAAATAAAACATATTTTATTTTCATACTTCCACATTAATTATAACATGTTTCTTGGGTAATTTAAATTTTTTTCCCACACATATTTTCGAAAACATCAAGCTTGTAGCTGAACTAAAAAGTCATCAGGCTTTCAAGTGCTCAGTGTCAAAATTCAACTTTGTTGCTACAGTTAAAAATAATGAATTTTATGTGAATGTGAAATGAATGTAAGCTTGAAATAAGTGAATCTAATGTAATGGCTATTAGCATTTTTCATTTGGAAATAATGAATTGACATTGTTCTTTTAAACATAAAGTGTGACTTTTTCTTCTTAGTTTCTGAGAAAATTTACTCCGGCATCATGTGTAATTTGTTGTAGGTTTGCTATTGAATGGACAGATACATATAATGGTTCTAAACATATATTTTTGTCTGTCAAAATATTATATAAACTATGCCTAAAATAAGTAGATTTGCAGCTCTAATATGTGTAAATGTTTTCAATGTAATGGTATTGTATTAAATTGTGCTGGTGCAATTCAGGAGATCATGTCTAGATTTGGCTTTTTGCGGCTGTCCCTTAAAACAAATATAAGTGGTGCTTCAAGACAACTATGCAATGGAATTGAAATAAACCATCTCATTGTTGGAATGTATACAAAAATGAAATGGAAATGTTTCGCCTTGCATAAGCCTTAGACAATTTGTGATATCATATCTCAAAAAAAATGAATAATTTTCCCTGGAAAAGAAGTTTTGCCACTGCACACAGGCCTTTCTTTGAGATGAACAAATCAATAAACAGAATATCTGTTCCTTTAATATCAGGAAATCTGCATCTTAAAAACCAAGTCTGATAATTGCTGATCTAGGATACACAACCAACCACTAAGTGAAGAACTGCTTGTCATTATGTTCTAAGTATGTGCTTTATATCTCTTATCTAACTCTTTCAAAGTGTCTTTAAAAGTGTGAATATATACTTTCAGAAGAACTTTGTCTTCTTACAGCTTAATCATAAACACTTGTGCATTTGGATATATATGGAGGAAGGGCCTAGAATCAACTTAAGGATGAATGAAGGAAAGAATAATTAGTTATGCAAAGAAATATACCAGTTTATCTGCCATTATGGACACATTTCTGAAAAGCCTATATTTTGTTTTATCACAAATCTATACTATAGGGGGAATTATTAGGAGCTAGAATAGACAATGTGTATTGGAGTCTATGTATGTCTTTCTTCATTTTAACCCTAGTGTTAAGAGAGTTTAATTTGATCATTAGCAATCTCCTAAGGCAGATATTCTGAGAGCGGCCCAAAGACATGATAAATGATTACTTCTTCATATTTTATACAATCACCCAAAGAAGAACCCCAAAACAGTAAAAAACAGCCATCACCTATTATTTAAATACTCTATAATCAAAAAGTATATGGCAATTTTGTTTTGGTTTTCAGTTGGAAAGCTATGTCTATCTATTTAAAATAAGTACTGCCTTATATATTAGCCAAAATGCTGTGTTGGTTTATGAAATTTTGAACCAAGAGCAGTTAAAACCATAAATCAGATAGGAGCAAAGGCTAATGATAGAGTAGTGGATATTAATGAGAGGAATAACTGAAAACAGTCCCCTCCCCCCCAGTATAGCTGCAAAATGCAGCTGGAGTGAGCCACAGCACAAGAATGGCTCACACTCCTTGTCCTCTGGCCTGATTTTAACATAACTTGGAAGACAGTGGGTAAGAGTAGAAATGCAGAGTAAAGCATATATGGCTTCAAGTAGCTGCTCTACCTCAGATTGATATCTCAACATTTATAATCTTAGCCAAGCCACTTGACCTCTGGAGCCTCAGTCTCCCAAATGAGAATTGCATTTATCGGTTAGTTATTAGGTTGAAACTATATGATACCTAAAGGATATGAGGTAAATGGAACACACTTAAAAAGTGTAAAGATGCAGAACTAGAAACATAGCTCTCCAACCAGGAAAATTGGACAAAACACATTTAGCTATTTAGGAAGTTATTTTGCCTATGAATCTTGTCACATTCAACACGTTTTAAGCCTGGATTCTAAATTAGGGATGAAGAAAGAATAG